CCTGAGGGAGCGTCACGGGTCGAGGTGAGTCCTGCTGGGGACAAAAGTGCCCATCAGCCTCCGCTGGACAGTCGGGGATCAGGCCCTGGTGCAGTGGGTCCTTGTGGGTCCTTCACCACCCTCCCCTCCCTGTGCCCCCTCTTCTGTGGAGCAGGCAGGCCAGGCCAGCGCCAGCGGGTCGGGGGGGGGGGTGAGCAAGGACACACAGACTCCCTCCTCCCACCCCAATCAGCCAGTGGCAGGCCTTGGCTGCTTCAGGCCTCCACCTGCCTTGTACCGCCCACCCTGCGATGCTTTCGGGTCCCCTATGGTGGCTGCCGCCTCCCCCCAGGGCCCTGGCGCCTGTGCCCAGCTTGCTGCTGGGCCTAGAGAGATGAGCAGGCTATCCATGACCTTGGTCCCCTTTTTACATGTTTGGATGTTATTCCAGTTGGGCTCTCAGGAGCCTGAGAGAGGGAGCCTGAGGGGTTAGGGCTGCTGCTCAGTTGACTGTGAGGAGCCCAGGGCCTTCGAGGAGGGGCCATCTAAATGCCCTCCCTGCTCAGCACCCCACTGGGCTGCTGTGCTTGTCCCTCCACCCCATAGGCCTGTGCCCTTCCTTCCCCCGCGTCCTGCTCCTCTGTCAGGCCCAGCTCAGCACGCCCTCCCCCCAGACAGTGCCAGATGTGGGTGCAGAGGGAGCCCGTGGCCTGGACTTTGCCTGCCCTGCCACCACCCCCCCACCCCCCCATCAGCCAGGGCTGTTAGCACCTCCAGCCATGGTGTGTGAGGGAGGGGACCCTCTGGTCAGCCTGTGTTTTGACCTCAGGGAGGTTGTGGGCAGGTGAGGGAGAAACCAGCAAGAGACCGTGCAAATGGGGTGGCCACAGGGCCTCTGACCCGCCACCGTGTCGCCACCCTGTCCCTGTCCCTAACCAGTCTGTGTGGCCTTTTGGGTTCTGGGTTTCAAAAAGCTGCCCCCTGACAGGACTTGCCACCCAGAAACTTGATCTATTTTCCTCCAAAGATGTAAAAGAGCTCCACTTATAAAAATAGCTCACCTGGCTCCGCTGAGCTGGCTGTTTCCACGGCAACCCACTCCTCCCCAGGAGCCCCCCATGAAAGAAGGTCCCAGCCCTGGCTCAGGTGCCCACTGGGCTCTTCGGCCAGAGTGGCTCTTAAAGGGTTCAAGGGGAGCCCCGAGTGGGGAGCAGGGGTGGGGGCACAGTGGCTTCCTCTGGCTCCAAGTCGTTTGTGGTTTGAAGTAAATTCAAGACTGACTATGCGCCGAAGTGAGCTGTGCTGATGAAGGGACAGGGATATGGACAGGCTGATGCCAGGAAGTCCCGGCTCTGCACTGTCAGGCGTGGGGTGCTTAATGTCCTTTTCCAGAGGAGGCACTCATATCCGCAGCCGGTGTGGCTCAGTGGATAGAGTATCAGCCCAGGGACGGAAGGGTCCGGGTTTGATTCTGGTCGAGGGCATATGCCTGGGTTGCAGGTTCGATCCCAGCCCTGGTTGGGGTGCGTGCAGGAGGCAGCCAATCAATGTGTCTCTCATCCACATTTCTGTTTCTCCCACTCCCTTCCCCTCTAAAAATCAATGGAAAAATGTCCTCAGGTGGGAACTAACCATGTACACATAAGTATGTGCCTGTCCATCCCGTGTACGGACTACGCCTAACCAAAGCCGCATCCCAGAACCACCTCCTCTGACCGGTCAGCAGGCATCTGTGCCAGGCTTGGAGGGGGGGACAGAGGGGCTGTGTGCAGGCAGGAGTCTCAGTGATTAACTAGAGAGCTTCTGGGGACCAGCTCCCAGGCCAGCCAATCACACGTACGATCAAAGACAGAGAACACAGCTCGGTGTTCAGCTCAGCCACGCTCGGTGCCGTCACTCAACAGTGGCCCCATGTCCTTGCTCCCGGGGCCTGTGCTGTTCCATGGCAAAGGGACCTGAAGGGGTGACCGAGGGTCTTGAGAGGGGAGACTATCCAGGTGGGCCCTGGAGTCACAAGGGTCCTTAGAAGAGGGAGGCGGGCAGGCCAGAGGGAGACACTGAAGATGCTCCTCTGCTAGCTTTTCGGAGGGAGGAAGGGGCCACAAGCCAAGGAATGCAGGCACCCCACAACCCGGGGCAGCCTGGCGGCCCCTCCTGAGAGCTGCTGTGCGCTAAGTCCTGGCCTTGGAGGGAGAGGGCTCCTTTGTGCCCGGCAGTGGCTTTGTCTGAACCCTGATTGCCGCTGCTGCTATTCTGGTGTTAACACAGTTGCAACGTTTCTGTAGGATTTCACCTCTGGCAATAGCTCAGTGTCTGCTGTGTTGCAGTTTGGATTGTTCTTTGTTCCTCGCAGATGTTCATTGTGGCTGAATTTTATTCCCAGTGGGAAGTGGGAACAGAGAGTATATTTGGGTGATAAAAGCTCTAGAATCCCCAAGGCCATAAGCTTGAGAACTGCAGGCCTTAGCAGCTTTATACACACAAGCGTGTTCCTTGCTTTGCACTGAGTCTGCCGCCAAGGGAGTCCCCGTCAGAGGGGACAGCGGGCAGTGGGAGCTGAGGAGCTATTGCACGGCCCTTGCCGGGCACCTGCCGTTCACCCCTCAGAAAGCGGAAGCTAATTCAGTGCCGTCAGTTCTTCTCTCCCATTTGAGGAAGGTCACACGAAGTAGTTCTGTTTGCATCTCTGAGTTTCGTCTATTTTGCCCGTGTGGGTTTTCTCCTTGCCAAGGACCCTTGACCCCTAACTGAGACTTGGGGACTCAGCATGGCCAGAGTTCACCATTTTGGAGGCAGAGTCCCCTTCATGGTTCAGCTCTGCTTCCTCCCCGTCGTGGGGTGTTCATGCTGCCGGGTCAGTACTTGTCTGAACAGCCTGAGACACTGGGAGCCTGGGAGGCTGGGCCACATGTCAGCTCCTGAGTGACACCCATCCTCTCCTTGAGGACTGGCGGGTGGAGGGACAGTGTGGGAGTGAGGCCATCACCGGACATTCATCGCCTTGGAGCTGGTGGGTGCTGCCATCAACATGTCCGGGCTGGGTTTAGGAATCCTGTTCTCCCCAGTCCCTGGCCACCCTGGCCCCAGCCCTGCCAGGCCTCTGACCTCTCTGTCCCTGCCATCTGCCCACCACCCACCTGCCACCACACACTCCCTTTTACCAGGGACGAAGGCCCAGGCTCCTTGGCTATGTCAAAGGCCCTCACCATCTGCACTCTCCAACTAGCTCCTCTGTGCTCCCCCTGCTTCTCACTTCCTTCTCCAGATCCCGCCATCCTGTGTATGACCGGCTCCTCCGTGCATGCCGCAGCAAACTGACGGGCCTGACAGATCTCCTGGGATGTGCCCAAGATCGGCCATTCACTCACCCACCCACTCACTCCGTCCTTGCCCCACTTCCCCTACCCTCTCCTGCCTCCCTCGTTCTCCTACTCCCACTGTCTGTCTGGAGAGACTCACTCCCCATCCCCAGAGAACAGGCTGTGCTGGTCTGTAATTGCTGACCGGGTGCCTTCCCATCCCAAACCCCAGTGACTTGGGAGCAGAACAAGTACATCCCATGTCCCTGGAGGCTGGACTTGAACTTGGACCCCGAGAGCGGCTTACTAGGGCATGCTGCTTAATAACAAGTGAAGTAGATACGTGGTTCCCTCCCTCGCCCTGACTGCTTGCTAGACGTACTGACCCTGGAAGGGTGATAGGAAGGTGGCACTGTAGCTAAAAGCCTGAAGTCTGAATTCTAGATGCTCCAGAACTCCCTCACCTCGTGACCCTGGGCATGCCAGCGACCCTCTCTGCCCCAGCCCCACCTCACTAGGCCGTCATGGGCACTGACAGGCAGTGCCCTGCCCAGGGCCTGGCACCAGCAAGGCAAGATGCACGCTGGCTGTGGAGCCTTTCTAAGGCGACCCAGGCCGAGGCGAGGCCTTCCAAGCAGACTGACCTGCAGACCCCGCTCTGCCCCCTGGTTGCAGGGCCCACCCTGGCGGCCTGTCCTCCGGGAACCTGCACTTCTCCCTGGCCGAACGGAAGTGATAGTCAAGGTCTGCCCACCACCGACCCCTGCGAGGCGCCACGTTCACATGAACAAAGCCAGTGGCCCAGGGCCTGGCCCAGCACCTGTGGTCTCCGACACTGGGTCATGCAGGGCTGTAGGTGGGCTGGCGGGGGGGGGGGGGGGGGCGCTCCTGCCCCCGGCTCGAGGCTCCTTATGGCCGCCAGGGACAGGCTGTGCAATGCATGCTGCCCGCCACCCCTGCTCAATTGGGCCCCACGTCACTGGCTGGCTTGGCACTGCCACCTGCTCGGGCCAGGCTCAGAGCAGTGACTCAACCGTGGCCACCCACAGACATCCTGCCCCCTGTGGGAAGAGGCCTATTCTTTCACAGTTTGCACCTTTTTAAAAAGGCTGTATCTTGGGCTACAGATTTCCTTCATCTAAAGAGGTTTCTTGCTGAGGATTTCCGAAACGAGGCATTTCAGAAATCCCTGAGCAGTCGCAGGCTCTGGCACCACAGGCCCTCAGCCTCCTGGTTGGCCCGTGCTCCGCATTAAAGCAGCAGCAGGGCCCGGACCCCCTGCCCCCGGGCCCCCCGGAGGCCCCCACAGCTCTCTGACCGCTTGGCTGGCGGTGGGCCAGGACCCCGGGCACCCCAGCCTCCCAGGAAAGGGCACTTGAGGGCACTGGGCAGCTGTGAGAGGAGGGGGTGGGGAGGTCAGCGTTCACCTGGCAGGCGAGGCCCTGGCACCTGGTGTGGAGGAAGTGGCTCTGGAGGCAGCGGACTAGCTGGGTGGCCCGGGGTGTGACTGCACTTCTTTGAGCCTCAGTGACCTCTCTGGTCCCCCTTTACATCCCTTCCCACTACCCGAGAGGCCTGTGCCCACCCAGGAAGGCTGGGGGACCCCTCACCCTGGCGGGGGCAGGAACTGGCACCGTCGAGGGCACTCTCCTCCCTCGAGCCCGGCAGGCCCCTCATGCTGCCAGGATCAGTGATCACCATGGCAACTGTTTCTCTCTGCAGATGACTCTGGGGACGAGGACGACGACGACGAGACTGCCTCCCCAGCTGACAAGACTGAGCTCCAGAGCACCATCAAGAACCTCTCCCTGAAGCTCGATGACCTCAGCACGTGCCACGACCTCCTCGCCAAGCACGGCGCCGCGCTGCAGCGCTCCCTGAACGAGCTGGACGGCCTGCGCATCCCCTACGACAGCAGCGAGAAGCTGAAGGCGGTGAACGAGCGGGCCACCCTCTTCCGCATCACGTCCAATGCTATGATCAACGTGAGTGCCCCCCGCCTCCCGCTGCCCTGGCCCGGGGCTCCCCCAAGGGGAAGTGCGGGCGGCGGGGGTGCTTGACAGACCAGGTGGCTTCAGGTCGTTTCCCAGAGCTGGCGCCCTCCACTCTGGACCCTGTGCGTCACCTCGTCCTCCCAGAGGTCGCTGGGCGAGGACACCCTTTTTAACGGTTGGTGAGACCGGGGTTGGGTCAGAGAGGGGAAGCCACACAGAGGTGGTGGCCCAGGCCCAGGGAACAGGGTCCAGGCGGCCATTGGGCCGACCAGAGACAGTGGGCAGTCCTGGTGCCTAGTGAGCCCCAGGCGGGTCCAGCCTCCAAAGCCAGGAGGGAGAGCGGAGCAGGGCCGGAGTCGGGGCCAGGCTCTTTGCCCGACACCAGGAAACCCAAGGGTGGGGGAAGATGGAGGCTGGAGTCCACCGGGGATCTTGGCCTGAGGTGGACTGGGCTGTGGGGCTAGCGGACCCCCCCCCCCCCCGCCACAAAGGCTCGGGACTGGAGCGGCCAGGTACCGGGGCCTGGGGCTGAGGGACACCCTTTCCCAGAAACAGCCACAGGGCCTGGCACTCAGCAGGTGTGAGGATGTCCACGTGCTCAGGGTGTGGCTGGGCCGCAGCTCTGGGCTGCCTGTGTGTCGGCCCCATCGTCAGTCTGCGCTTGCGTTTTCCTCTGACCTCCCCTCTCAGCTCACTGGGCTCCTTACTGCCCGACTCTAGGGGCCCAGGCCCCGCATGCCCTGAACATGGATTAAGCATTTAACGATGCAACAGTGTTCCTGTTTCCCCACCCACCCCAGGAGCGCTGCTCCCCCCCCCCCCCCCCCCCCATCCGCTGAGGCGGAAGCCACTTTGTCTGAGTGAGCAGTTTGGGTTTCTCCCCGATAATGAGCCTCTCAGCTGGTGTGAGGCTCGCCTGTGTGTGAAGCCATGAAGGCAGCCTGCCATCTGAGTGCAGAGTGAGTTGTCCGGTAGGAAGCACAGCCCCTGGGGGTGGTGATGACGCCCGTTTTCAGTTCTGGCACCAGGAGTCAGAGGAGTGGCAGGGGAGCTGCGCTCAGGCTGGGCTCTGCCCAACTGCTGGCGTGAACCTGATGCAGGGCCTCTCCCCATCCAGCTCCATGGGGATCGAGGTGCAGGCACCGAAGTGAGGTGCTGGCCTGACAGGCCATGCTGGTATCCGCTCCGACTGAGGCTGGGTTATGCACGTAGGAAAGGAGAGACTGCCGCCAGCCAGAGCCCACAGGGACACACATCCTCCAAAGGGCCCCAGGCAAGCAGCAGCAGCACCACCACCACACACACACACACACACACACACACACACACACACACACACACACGTCCCCACCCGACCACTGCTGACCATCACCCCGTCTGGTCCCACGTCCCATGGGTTTTCTACTGAAGCATCTTGGCAGGTCCTCCCTGCAAGGCCAGGGCAGTCCCCTGGCAATCCCTGGGGCCTGCAGCTGCCATGCCTGGCACCGTGCCCACACACGGGAGCCTCAGTGAATGAGCGCGCGCTGTGAAAGATCGTAGGAGCAGTGAATGAACCGCTTAGCGTCTGCAAATTCCCTCGCGGGTGATTTTGTGAGTCTGATCAAAGGCGGCCCAGCAGTTCCCCGGCTGGATTACTGTTTGGGTAACTGCGAGTTAGCCTGTCATTTAGGAGGAAGCTCCCAGCACTAGACAGGACTGGTCTTAGACTGAGCCTGAAGCGCCGCTGGCCGGGGTGTGGGGACTGGGAGCTGGGATGTGCTGATGTGGTAGCAATGGATCAGTCATGTGGTTGAGGTGAACGATGGAATGGATACATTACCATCACGTGCTTTGGGTATTCATTTTTTTTTAAGTGAAAAAAGTAAATTCAAGTTTTACTCTTTTTCCTATAACTTTATCTTTGTGGTGGAGCAGGGCCCTGGTTTGAAGGACAGGCCTCTGGGACGGTGGTGGTGGGACAGCAGCAGCCCGCCCGCTTTCTTCCCATCAGCCACATGAAGTCGGTGTCCTTAAGCTTCCTCCTCCTCCTCATTTGTACTATTTAGGTGCCACCCTGAGGCCCAGAGCAGTCATGTTGCCCAAGGCTCACAGGCCCAGCTGTTGCATGAGCACTTGGGGTCACAGGCCTTGGTCCCTGGGTGACCCCCCAGAGTCTGTGCTCAAAGCCCGGGGCTCCATCACCTGTCACCAGGCCTGGCACACGGGCTCCTGGTTGGCCTGGGCTCCCCATGGCTTGCCTTTGAGATCTGGCCCTGCGGGCCCTGCCCTGGGCAGAACCCACAGTGCTGCACGGTCACCCTGGGAGCAAGCCTGCCCGGGGTGGTCTGACTGTCCCCCACCCCCTGCCAGGTGCCCCTTCGGGCCTGTGGAAGCAGGTTCTGCCTGTGGGCCCGGGGGCCAAGCATGGCCAGAGAAGTGCTGCTTCTGTGACTTTCGCTTCCACTTCCCTGCCGCCTGCGCCCTCGGGACCTCCCTGAGCCGCCCAGCACATCTCCTCCCCTCAGCCCTCTCAGTCGGAAGGCACCAAGGCTGCGCGGCAGGTGGCGGCGGCGGTGTCTCCCGCAGTGCTGGGCCCCGGGGTGGGCTGAGCGAGGCAGACTGCTCCTGACCCAGATCCACACCTGGACTGGGAGAGGCGCCTCAGAGCTGGTGACTCTTGCAGAGCCTGGACTCGGCCCCTCCAACGACACGACCCCGTGACCCTTAGGATCCGTGAGTTCAGGTGAGCCCAGCTCACCCCGACCAGCCCTTGGCGACAGGGCAGCATGCGGCTGCTGGTGGACACTGAGGCACGGAGGCCCTCCATGACCCCTCCATGGTCAGCCGGGCCCTGTAACCATGGAGATGATGGGGTGTGTCGGAGGTTAAAAGACCTTAGGAGGAAAGAGCAGGCTGGTGGGGTGGAACAAGAGGTCATGGAAGCAGACTGGCAGGAGGAGGGGGGAGGGAGGGGGGAACTGGAGGGAGGGGGGAGGAGAGCCTGAAGCAGGCAGGCTGGGGTGACTTGGAGGGGAGCCTGGGAAACAGGAACCCGGTCAGGAGACCTCGCGTGTGGCCTGAGAGTACTTTGCCTTTCACTTTCAGTGAAGCTCGTGCAGCCACTGCCTGGAAGCCGGGCTATTGTGAGGCAGAGGCAGGTATGGGAGCCCCACTGGGAGGTCCCTGTTGTTACCTAAGGGTGAGTGGCAGCTGGGCCTGGGGAAGGAGCTGGAGAAGCTGCGGCTGCTGCTGGGTGTTGAGGGAAGGGCCAGCGGAGTGGCTGTGGGGGTCGAGGCTGCTGGGACAATAGGGGAGACCTCCTCGTGACCCCGCCCCGGCCCTCACGTGCTGGTCGGTCTCACGGGTTTGGGCAGGATGCAGGAGGGCCCTTTCCAGGAACAGGTTTTGTGCAGCCAGCTGGTGAGCAAAGCCGGTCTGTGGGCGAGCCCCTCAGGAGACCAAAGATGGTCGAGGTACCCAGTGGGGGCAGAAAGCAGCAGGGGTTCTGGCTAACGGGGAGGTTGCCACCAGGCCCACCTGCAGGGCCCGATGCAGCGGACACTTCCCAAGGAAGGCCCGTGCGGTCACATTTTGGTGTGTGCAGTAGAGCTAGCTGGACGGGACGGTGCAGATCCTGACAGCAGGGACTTAGGAAAGTCTGGGCAGGAGTGGCTCCCAGCATGGCCAGAGCCAAGTGCAGAGGCAGGGGGAGGTCCTGGGCAGAGAGGGGCAGGGTGGGGGCAGGTGCAGAGGCAGCAATTCAGGGCCAAGGCCCCAGGTCAGAGGCATCAGAGGAATAAAGACCCAGGTCAGCAGGAGCCATTGGCTGCTAGATACACTGAGGCTTCTGAGCCCCATTTGGAGGCCATGGGGGGGCTCCTCGTTCTTCCGGAGCCCGTGGGAAGGCTCCTGTCCAGCTGACACTGTTCTGCTGCCGGAGAACCTGCTCATTTGGGTCCTGGGGAGAGGAATAAAAATAGATTCTAGAACTGTCTAAACTCAGCTGGCAAACTGGTGGCCAGATGGTGCTGGATCCTGTGTGCAAGGAGTAGCTCTTCTGAAGGTGGGAAGGGCTATTTTAAAGTCTGGATCCCAGTGAAAGTTGCTGCCTGGTGCCTATGGAGTCACATCGAGGCGAGGCTGTGACTGCCCTCGGTGGGAAGGGCTGGCTGGCCCCTGCGGGTGCCAGGCAGCCTGTGCTGAGTGCCAGGTGAGGAGTGGGCACAGGCCGATGGCCAGCCCGGCCCTGGGAGCTGCTCGGCCTCGAGGGCCCAAGAGGGTGGATATACAGGATGGCGGCTAGGCTGGTCCTGACCCAGAGGGACCCCATCTGAGTCCGGCACGCCCATCCCCGCTTCAGGGCCCAAGCTGGCCCTGCTTCTGGGAGTGTGGCATCCTCCAAGCCCTGCTCGCCTGCCGGCATTTGGGGAGTGGCCAGGTCGCCGTCAGGATTAGGATTAGGAACACAAAAGCGATGAGCTTGTCCTCTTCCCTCCTGGGCAAAGGCCTCCAGCTCAGGAGCTCTGCGTGGCAGCAGCTTCCCTTGGAGCTCACACAGCTCGGCCGACAGTTTCTTGTCGGTGGGCAGCTCTCAGCCTCTCACCAGGCCAGGCTCTGGGACGGGGAGTCCCGGCTGAGCAGGGCCCGCCCATGTGGGGACCCCCTTTCTGTCCCGGGCCTGTTGGTTCTCACCCCCGCCCTCCCGGAGGTAGAAGCCCACAGCTCTTCATCCCAAGGACTTCTGTAGCCTCGGGGGTGGGAGGAAGGCCATCGCCCTGACGGGGACGCCATAGGAGTCCTGGGTTTCAGCCTCTTTGTCCCACGAGGACTCCAAGGCCCAGGAGGTCACAGTCCTGCCCAGGGTGGGCAGTGAGGCCGTGCCTGCGAGGGGCCCGGATGCTGGGCTCCTTATCCTGCCTGCTCCCTGCCCTGTGCATGGTTCAGCAGCAAGTGTCGTGTGGGCAGGGGCCTCCGGGTGCCCCACTCTGAGAGGGTGGCAGTGTCTCAGGGGAAATGTGACTGTGGGTTCGGAGCCTGGACCAGCCAGGCCTTCCCTGGATCCCCCCACCAGCAGCCCCCCTGCTGGGCCCCAGGCTAATCCAGCTTAGTGGGCAAACAGTAGTGCACAGCCCAGCTCAGCATTCCCCGGGCGGGCGCAGGGGCCAGGCCAGCACCTGCCTTTGTGCCGTGTGGCCAGCATGGGGCTGGGAGAAGGGTGGTGGTGCCAGAGGAAGCCCTGGGCGTTGGGGACGGACACCAGGTAGGTGCACTGGGGCTCTCCACAGCCTCCAGGTGACTGGGGCAGCTCATCTACTGCAGGTACCCCCCCCCCCCCCCCCCCCGCCCAGTGGCAGTGGTGAAGGCCCTGGTCCAGCTATGTGAGCCCTTAGATCAGCGGTTCTCAACCTCTGGGTCGCGACCCCTTTGGCGGTCGAACGACCCTTTCACAGAGGTCGCCTAAGACCATCCTGCATATCAGAGATTTACATTATAATTCATCACAGTAGCAACATGACAGTTATGAAGTAGCCACGAAAATAATTTTATGGTTGGGTCACAACATGAGGAACTGTATTTAAATGATCTTGTATCCAGCCCAGCCACATGCGGCCTGTCCCAGGGGTCGCACTCCTGTCCCCTTGCTGCTCGCCAGCCTGTCCTGCAGTGGCCGCGAGGCGGAGGTCACGCACGTCCCCAGCAGCAGGGACAGGTGCTGGGAGGCAGCAGGGTGAGTCCTGGTGCTTCGACAGGGTTCTTCCCCGACACCCTTGCTTGTGGCCCGCCTGGGACCCGCTGTGTGACCTGAGCCGGGGTTCACTGCCTGTGGAGTGGGGGGGGGGGGGCCCTATAAGCGCCTGGAACATTTCTGCCCGCCCCCCCAGCACCGCCTCCCCACCTGCTGGTGCGGACCCAGCAAAGAGGTGCCTTCGCGTTGGGGTGGTCACTGGTGTGCAGTCAGGGCCCCACCTGCAGGATGCAGTGGTGAGGAAGGGATGGGAACTGGGGGCGAGGTGGAGGCCACTGTAGGACCCGGGGATAAAGGCCTGGCTCAACAGGGGGCAGTGAGCCAGGCCTGGAGCCAGGCCTCCCTGAGCTCACCCAGGCCCGCCTCGAGGGTCCCACACTGCAGGGGCGCCCGTGAGTGCCGCTCCACAGGAGCAGGGGCGCCCTATGGATCAAAACAGCCCCGACTTGGGACGGCCCTGGCGCAGGCGCTCCCCTCCTGGGAGCCGGGTAAGCATCAGGAGCCGGCTTTCCTTCCGAGGTCTCCCACCCCCGCCTGCGCCGGGACACCTGTCAGGATAAACCCCGGCCCTTCTGGAGAAGCGGGTTATGGTGGCTTAGGTGTGGCCCATGGGCCCCGCACCTTGACCTTGAGGGAGGGTGGGAGGCCCCTGGACCTGAAGTGGCCCAGGGTCTTGCAGAGGAGCTGCTGGGAACGGAGCCTCTGGTTCCTGATGTGTGAATGGGGCTGGCCCCCTCCTCCCACCTGGAGGATGCTGCTGGGTGAGCTGAGACCGGGAGCTGTGAGCACAGGGTCTGTCAGACTCTGTCGTCTCCGAGAGGACGCCACTGGGAGGGGACGCCGCCAGAGCAGTTCCTAGCCAGCTCTGAGAAACCAGGTCCCCGCGGCAGCCCAGGAGGCAGCAGAGATGTTTGTGACCCCCAGGGGTGCAAGGGGCGGAGACAGGACCCGTCCTCCTCACTGGGCGACAGGCTCTGCTCACACACTCTCCCTCCCAGGCCTGCAGGGACTTTGTGGCACTAGCGGAGGCGCACAGCCGGAAATGGCAGCGGGCGCTGCAGTATGAGCAGGAGCAGCGCATCCACCTGGAGGAGACCATCGAGCAGCTGGCCAAGCAGCACAACAGCCTCGAGCGGGCCTTCCGCAACAGCCTGCCCGGCCGGTCCTCCGACCCCAACAAGAACTTCGACCAGGGTGAGCGCTGGGCCGGGCCGGGCCACTCCAGCCGCAGCCTCCTCCCGGCCTCCCCGGGCCCAGGCCAGCCCTCATCTGGCCAGTCTCCCCGCGTCTAGGTTCCACTTCTCAAAAGACAAGTTCAGTGACCCCACTGTCCCCTCGGTGCCAGGGCTGGCAGGCGGCTGCCTGAGGCTGGGAGTCATGGTGCCCTGGGAAGGGCAGCTGGGCCACCCCCAGACCGAGCAGCATGTAGAAGGGCGGGGGCTCTGGAAGGAAGGAGGCTTGTGACAGGAAAGCACATTCGGAGAGCGGATGAGGGCCGGGGGTCAGGGGGGCACAGGATCAGAGTATGGGGTGCGGGTCCTGTAGGCTCTGGACCCCTCAGGTGGGTGCGACGAGGCTCTGTGAAGCTGCAAATGACGCAGCAGCTCTGCGTGTCCCTAGAAAGCCTCTTGACTTCCAAGGAAGAGGACAGTGAGGAAGATGAGGATACGGAGTATTTCGACGCCATGGAAGACTCCACCGCCTTCATCACTGTGATCACCGAGGCCAAGGAGGACAGGTGGGCTCTCGGGGCTGCTGCTTTAAGTCTCGTGCCAGATGGCATTTCTGCTTAGGTTGGGTCTATTGTTCCTTAAGTCAAAAAAGGCCCCAATTGAGTTTGTATCAGGGTTTCGTTTTCAATGGACAGAGAACAGGGCACTCACTGGCTGGATGCGGTCCGGCCTGGGGAGGGGGAGAGCCTGGACCCCTGCGGCTCCTCCAGAGGTGCCCCCCGGCCTCACCTGGTCCTGGGTCGGCCAGGCCTCAGGAGGCGTGCAGGCACCTCGGGAGGGTTTCTGAGCATATGCTGCCACGGGCCTCAGAGAGTGGGGGCCCCTCCAGCCTGCCCCGGTCCCACAGCCCCACTGACCATCCTGAACCGAGAGACGCCCCATTGGAAGGAAGCCCGGGGCGCTGCCCCTCCGATCTCACTGGAGGGCCTGCTAGAAGGCGGCCAGGCCCTGGGGAGGCCTCGCATTTGTAAATAACCTGCCTCCCACTGTGTTTCCTACAGAAAAACTGAGGGTGGGACCACAGGCCCTGTGGACTGGACCCCGGCAGACAATGTGAGTGACGGGGAGACCCTGAGGGGGTCTGAGGGGACAACAGCACCTGGAGCTCGGGGCCCTGGGGCAGGCCCAGTGGCCTGCTGCCTTCGGTCCCACCAGCAGCTGGTCCTCAGACTCCCTGGGTCAGGGGTGAGGACGAGCCCTGGGGGGCCATGTGCTCTGGCCTCTGCCGATGCACACACTGCTTCTCTGGCAGGTACAGGATGGCGCTTCACTCATGCCCAAGGGCCCCCCCAAAGTCAAGAGGCGTGTCCGCATCCCCGACAAGCCCAACTACAGCCTTAATCTCTGGAGCATCATGAAGAACTGCATTGGCCGGGAGCTCTCCAAGATCCCCATGCCGGTAGGGCTCAGGCAGGGGCCTCACTGGGTCCCCTGGGAGTCGCCTTCTCTGCCACCTGAGGCGCGAGCACACACTGTTGAATCGTGTCATTGCCGCGATCCCCCAAGAGCAGAGGTCTCAGGCTCTGAGGGAGGGGCTCTGCGGTGATCAGAGACTCAGGGACCCCCACGTCGCTGCACCTGACGGGGCCTTATGATGTCCTGGCTGTCCTGACCCGTCCGTGGGACTGGCAGGCTTGGGCTGTGTGTGTAGACAGGTAGGCCCTCCCCCAGTGAGGTCACACAGCAGGCTCAGGGCACGGGCGGGCACCCTCTGGCTGCCAGGCCACAAGGGCATCTCCAGAGGAGGAGCTTGGAGGCTCTAGGCCAGACTTGGTTCCACTGTGACCCCAGACAAGTCCCTTCACCTCCAGCCTCTGCGTCCACAGCGGCAAAGGGGGGAGATGAACGGCACCCACTTCTGAGTGGTCACAGCCTAGCACCACAGCCGGCAGGTGCTCTCAACAGAAAACCTGCATCATAGCTCAAAGTGCAGAATATGAGCAAGACCAGCCCCACTTTGTCCACATCCACTCCTCCCCGTGGCTCGGTGCTGGACACCGTCCACTCCTCTCCACTCCTCCCCGCGGCTCGGTGCTGGACACCGTCCACTCCTCCCCGCGGCTCAGTGCTGGACACCGTCCACTCCTCCCCGCGGCTCGGTGCTGGACACCGTCCACTCCTCCCCGCGGCTCGGTGCTGGGGTGGGAGAAGGACACCGTCCACTCCTCCCCGCGGCTCGGTGCTGGACACCGTCCACTCCTCCCCGCGGCTCGGTGCTGGGGTGGGAGAAGGACACCGTCCACTCCTCCCCGTGGCTCGGTGCTGGGGTGGGAGAAGGACACCGTCCACTCCTCCCCGCGGCTCGGTGCTGGGGTGGGAGAAGGACAGCAGGTCAGGGCGGTGAGGGCTGTGGGGAAACGAAGGTGGAGGGGCAGGGAGAGGAACCTCCCGGAAGGTGCTGTCTGAGCTGCAATGTCCCTGCACATCTGAGGAAAGCCAGGGTGCTACGCTGGGAGCAGCTGGCTCAGCCGGACCCCCGCCGGACCCCCGCCCTCCCACAGGTCAACTTCAACGAGCCCCTGTCCATGCTCCAGCGGCTGACGGAGGACCTGGAGTACCACCACCTGCTGGACAAGGCGGTGCACTGCAGCAGCTCGGTGGAGCAGATGTGCCTGGTGGCCGCCTTCTCTGTGTCCTCCTACTCCACCACGGTGCACCGCATCGCCAAGCCTTTCAACCCCATGCTCGGGGAGACCTTCGAGCTGGACCGCCTCGAGGACATGGGCCTGCGCTCACTCTGCGAGCAGGTGAGGCCACACACTCCTCCAGGCCTGGGGTCAGAGGCGACGAAGGGGACTCAGCCTCTGGTCCTGGCATGCCCATGCCCATGCCCATGCCCAAGGAGCTGCCAGGCTGTGGTCCAGTTAGGCAGCTGGGTCTCCTGCCTCTGGGCAGGGAGTGGGGAGGTTAACTGGAAAGTGGGCACCGAAGCCCTCGGTGGAGAGGAACACCTTCCCTTATCAGCCTTCAGCACAGCTCGTCGCAGGCACCCTGACATCCTGAGGCGTAGGCTCTGCCATTACCCCCACTTCACAGCCTGAGAGTCGGGTGTGGAGACGCCCGGCCCTTGTCTCACAGTCACAGGCTGCACCTGCTGCTGCGCCCTGGCTTTTCCTTGGAGCACTGTCTCTCCGGGGCCTCCAGGGGTCTGTAGCCCTCAATGCCTGCCTGCTGCCTGGGGGCAGGCCTGGCCCGGGTCCCGCAGACACTCATGTGCGGCGGGTCTGTCGCAGGTGAGCCACCACCCTCCATCAGCCGCGCACCACGTGTTCTCCAAGAATGGCTGGAGCCTCTGGCAGGAGATCACCATCTCCAGCAAGTTCCGGGGCAAATACCTCTCCATCATGCCGCTAGGTGAGCCGGGCCTGTGCCCATCCAGGGCAGAGACGTTCTGGATAAGGGGGAGGGTTTTCCCACACCCAGAAGCCAGCCTGGAGCCTCCAGGGTCGTGTCCCTTCCCCTCTGTGTGAATACAGCTCCCAGGACCCTGGGATGGTGGGGCCCAGCCTGGGGAGCCATGACCGCCGACCCCGTGTCTCGCTCCAGGTGCCATCCACTTAGAATTTCAGGCCAGTGGGAATCACTACGTGTGGAGGAAAAGCACCTCAACTGTGCACAACATCATCGTGGGCAAGCTCTGGATCGACCAGGTCAGGGGCGCCCTCGGGAGCGGGGGTCTGGCCTGGAGATCGGCCGCTGACCACCGCCCTCTCTCACCAGACAGGGGACATTGAGATTGTGAACCACAAGACCAAGGACCGGTGCCAGCTGAAGTTCCTGCCCTACAGCTACTTCTCCAAGGAGGTGGCCCGGAAGGTAAGCAGGCCGCCTCGCAGAGCCCTGAGGGTCGACCCAGAGAAGGCCTTGCCCACGCCGGTCCTGCCATGTCCACAGGTGACAGGCGTGGTGAGTGATGGCCAGGGCAAGGCCCACTACGTGCTGTCAGGCTCGTGGGATGAGCAGATGGAGTACGCCAAGGTCATGCAGAGCAGCCCCAGCAGCCCCAGCATGGACGGCAAGCATAAGACCGTGTACCAGACGCTGCCGGCCAAGCTGCTGTGGAAGAAGTACCCGCTGCCGTGAGTGGGGGGACCGCAGGGACTTCTGAGGGCAGCGGGCAGGGTGAGGGGACAGCAGGGGACCCTGCCAGACAGGAAGCCAGCGGCATAGGGGTCAGAAGGTCAGTCCACATGCGGGCAGGAAGCCGTGCTGTGTGGCTGACATCGCCCAGGGTAGCAAGTCCTATGCAGACCCTTCCAACAGCTCATGGGACAGAGTCCCATGGCCCGAGGAATGGAAACGACACAGTGGCGCACAGACTCCAAAGACAGGAAACGTAAGATCCCTGCACTCGAGACCTCCTCAGAAGGCCTAAGGGAACCCATCCGCCAAGTCCAGGTCAGCAGAAACCATCAGATCCAGGCAGGGAGACAGGCCTGGGAAGAGGAGCAGGGCCTGGTCTGGAGTGAAAACAGGAGAGAGCTTTCCACGCGGAGATCTGCACAGTGGGGCTGTTTAAACTGAATGAAGTGAAAATACTGAGCCGCCAGGTTTTAAAAAGAGATTACTGCCCGGGGAACAGCAGACTGACAGCTGCCACCTCCTGGGCAGTGAGGGAGCTCGGGGGCCGATGAGATCTCCCGGGAGCGCAGACAGACGCGGCTGGAATTAGACACCCGCTGAGAACACCTTTACAGGGTGAAGCGGAAATAGACATTTTCCGACGAATGAAAACTTATTTTGCCACCAGCAGACCTGCACTAAAGGTTGCACCTCTGTCAGAGGGAACTGATCCCAGATGGAAGATCTCAGAGTGTGAACCTAAGTGAACAGTGAATACACACAAATAACCACATGGGGTTTAAAATGTAAACATAAAACGTAACTGCGATGATGTAAGTGAAAGAGGGGTGAAGGGAAGGAAACTTCTTGAAGACCCTCATGCTGCCCAAGGGGAGGGTCCAGATGTGTGTGAACTTCTGACTGTGTGAAGCATGGATAGTGTGATTCCTAGAGTGACCACTAAGATGGTATGTGTAATTGGAATCCCAGTAGGAAAGGAAAAGAAAGAAAAATGAGAAGTAAAGCAATGAAAGACCCCGGGTGGAAGGGGCCTTTAGAGTCGCAGAGACAGGAGGGACAGACAGACTTCTGCCCAGACCGCACTATAGTGGGAGAATCAGATTGACATCAGGTTTTTCAGCAGCTGATGTTGGGTTAATATTTTCAAAATAAAGAAAAAAAAAATAGTAGGTAAATTTTCTGTTCAGCCAAGCTACCATTCAAATATGAGGGCATGACCAAATATGTCCTCAGGGAACAGCTCGGCAGGTTTGATGCCCCAAAACCCACAGTGAAACAGGTACTGGGCGCAGCAAGCAATCCAGGAGGTGCTGCAATACATACCCAAGACCAAGGGGGGCCATTCCACAATCCAGCACCGAGAGGGGAGACAGCGCCACATGCTGGGGTTTGGGGAGACAGAGAAGGATACGAAGGAATCCAGATACATGCACCTTCTGAGAGAAATACATCGTGGAAATGCTAACCAATAAAACCACAATGACAAGCCCTAGCCGGTTTGGCTCGATGGATAGAGTGTCGGCCTGCGGACTGAAGAGTCCCGGGTTCGATTCCGGCCAAGGACACATGCCTGGGTTGCGGGCTTGATCCCCAGTGGGGGACGTGCAGGAGGCAGCCGATCAATGATTCTCTCATCACTGATGTTTCTATATCTCTCTCCCTCTCTCTCTCAAATCAATAAAATATATTAACAAACAAAAAAACCCCATAATGACGGTATTAATATCAGGTAAAGGAATCTTCAAATCAAAAGCATTATTAGGGACGGAAGAGTAACTACAGGTTAAAGAGCTGATTTCCTTAAGAAGGTATAATAGTTTCAAACATTATACATGTAATGAAACAGCCTCAACAGCATGCAAAGCACATGTTGTTAGTAAAGGCGGAAATGGATAAATCCGTCATCACAGTGGGAAACTGAAGAGATTTCACTGATAAATTTGAACAAGTGGACGAAATGGGGACACTCCCAGGAGTATAATGCAGCAAAACAGACGCAGCCAGCGGGGAAGAACAGCGGGGTGCTGCCAGCTCCTGGGGTGGGGGTGTGCGCTGGAAGGGGAGATGGGCTGGGCGCGGGGGACATGCCATGCCGTCGCCCCCGCAGGGAGAACGCCGAGAACATGTACTACTTCTCGGAGCTGGCCCTGACCCTCAACGAGCACGAGGAGGGCGTGGCGCCCACGGACAGCCGGCTGCGGCCCGACCAGCGGCTGATGGAGAAGGGGCAGTGGGACGAGGCGAACACGGAGAAGCAGCGGCTGGAGGAGAAGCAGCGGCTGTGGCGGCGCCGGCGGGCCGAGGCCTGCTCCCGGGGCTGCAGCATGGAGGACGGTGAGGGGGCGAGGCGGGCGGGGAGGGGGTGCCCCCGGGAGAGGCAGGGGGGCCTGGGAGCGGGTTCCCTGCGGACCAGGGGGGAGGCTGCCTGCCCACCGCCCGCTGTGCCCGCCCCGCAGAGAAGGAGACCGAGGTGCACACGCCGCTGTGGTTCGAGAGGAGGCTGGACCCGCTGACCGGGGAGACGGCCTGCATGTACAAGGGCGGCTACTGGGAGGCCAAGGAGAAGCAGGACTGGCACATGTGCCCCAACATCTTCTGAACGCCGCCCTCCTGCCCACCGGGCTCCGCCTGGCCGGGCCCACCTGCAGTGAACGCACTCCCTGTAGTACTTACGGCCCTCCCACCCCCTTTTTTTCTTTCCTTTTTTTTTTTTAACAAGACACTTTTTGGAGCTCCCACCTGGAAGGAGGAAGTGCTGACGCGGTTCTTCCAGCCCCAGGTGCCCTGGGTCACCTGCGCCCTTTCATTAGGGACCTGGGCCCCTGGGCCCCAGCTCCCGTCCCCACTCAGGCAGCTGCCGGACTCTGGACCCACCAGCCCCACCCGGAGGCGGAGGCACCGACCCTCCCAGGGAGCCGCCGTGGACTTTTTTTTAGAAAAACCACCTCCACTTCTTTCCAGCAAGACGGTTAGTAAATACTTCAGTCCCGCGCTTAGCGGACAGCTTCCACGTGTGCTTTCCTGCCACGAACGTGCTGGCAAGAGCCCCTTCTTTTTACGACATCAGGAAGCCAGACGGACCCTCGTCCAGAGCACTTTCAGCTCAACATAGCGAGACGGCCCCCCGGAGCCCAGGGCCCCCAGAGAAGGGGCTGGGAGGGGCCGCTGGGCCCAGGAGAGCACAAGTTGTCTCCAAGCAACAGCACGGGGGGGCGGGGGGGGGGGACTGAGGGGCTCCCATGTGGATTTGAGCGCCTCTAGCCTCGGCCGTGCAGGGGCTGCTCCCAGCCCCAGAGAGGCCGCACCCCAGAGAGGCCAGGAACCTCGGGGGCATCCTGCCCCTGAGCCAGGCCCCAAGTCAGCAATAAGAACCAACCCTCAGATCAGCCTGGGTGGTGCCCTGTCTCAGCACCCCTGAACTTTATTGGCCTGATTTATTTATGTAATATATAAATCTATATAAATAGCTATTTTGCTTACATTGCTATGGTATCTGGAAAGGCTAAATGATGAAGACAGGGCTCCTGTCTGAGTCTGGCCCTCCTGCCGCTGTGCCTGCCCTCTCCTTGGCCCCCCTTCAGTACGGGCCGACATTCACCACAGGGTGTTTCTTCCTACTCCAACTTGTGAGATGCCTTAGGGCGCCCACTCAGGAGCCAGGGCTGCAGGCTGCCCGCGGGCGGGGGGCGGGCTGTGTGGGAGCATCTTCTGACGTATTAAAGCCTTGGACGTGGAGTCCCCCGTGGCCCCGAGTCTGTAACTGGGTGAAGCAGAACAGGTAACAGCCCCGCAGGGGCCTGGGAAGAGCAGGGGCTCTCATCGCCTCTGAACGGGCAGCGGGAGGAAGGGGTGGGAGACCGAGTGGGGCGGGGTCCGGAGCAGAAAGGGCCCTTTTAGAAAGACGTGTGAGGGCTGAGTCAGCATCTAGGGTGGCGTCGGCTTTACCTGGACTGTGTGGGGCCAGGCCGCTGCCAGGATTTGAGTGCATCTAGCCTTGGCCGTGCAGGGGCTGCTCCCAGCCCCAGAGAGGCCAGGAACCTTGGGGGCATCCTGCCCCGAGCCAGGCCCCAAGTCAGCAATAAGAACCAACCCTCGGATCAGCCTGGGTGGTGCCCTGGGCACGAGACCTAGCCCGCGCTGGTGAACGGCCAGCTGTCTGACAATGTTCCCTAGCAGCTTCTGGGAACATTCTAGTTACCAGGACTGGGCAGCTGGTCGGGCCCAGTGGCCCTCTTCCCAGTGCTGCCCGGTGAGGACACCACAGCCAAACCCTAACCACCCGTCCCGACTCCCGGGCGTGGCGAGCTCCAAGGCTGGCCTCGCACAACCTCTCACACTCCCTCCCTCCCTCCTTCCCAGACACTCCTTCCCTCCCTCCTTCCCAGACACTGGCCTTCCCGTTCGGGTGGAGGCAGGTCTAGTGAGACCCGCAGGCTGGAGGGGCAGCTCTCACGGGATAGAGGGCAATGGGGGAGGGATGGTGGTGAGGGGACCTCAGGACGGGCCTGACAGGATGGGGAGGGGCTGCACGGGCAAAGCCCAGCGGGGACAAAGGCAGCCACTGAGGCAGAGCGAGGCATCGGTGCCTGGACAGAGCCAGACGGCTCGGAACAGGAGCGGCACCAAGCCGGCGTCCAGAGCCACTCGGACCAGCAGGACAGATCCGCCTGTGCCCAGTGTCTACCAGCCGCTGGCACCGAAGAGAAAGTGACAGGCTCCAACGTAGAACATGAGGCCTCACAATATACCCAACAAGCGCACCAGGTCTTCACGGAGAAGCTCTCAGCCTCCACTGAGAGAGGACGAGTGAGCGGGGAATGCCGCTTCGTGGCGGGGCCAACGCCACTGTCGGTTCTTCCCAAATCTAGAGTCAACACGGTCCAAGTCCAAAATCTCCTGGTATTTTTTTAAAAAACTTGACAAGTTGATTGTGAAATTTACATGGGAGAGTAACTGCACAAGAAATGGCTAAGGCGATTCTTAAAAAGAGGAACCGGGCGGGGCGGGTGGGTCTTGACCTGCAGACACCGACACGTGGGAACCACCCCCCACAGCTTCCTGTTCCCACGGCACCTGGCACAGCGGGCACAGCACGGATGCTACCGGCTGGCCGTGTCCCCAGCCTCGCGGGCTGTGAGCGTCATGAGATGGGAATCTTGTCTGTGTTTACGTTGCAGCATCCCCAGGGCCGGGCAGACAGCAAGTGCTCCTTAAACAGGGGTTGAACGCATGCGTCTCCGGCCGGGAAACCCAGCGAGGGCCAAGGCCAAGGCCAAGGCGACGGCCTGGGCAGCCGGGGAGTGTGGCTGCCGCCTCAATGGGAGCAGGGCCTCTGAGACGGACTGGAGGAGCTGAACCCTGGGGCCAGGACATCCTGCTTCCTCCACATTCGAGCCCAGGTCACTGCCCCCGACAGGCCCAGGGCGAGGCCCAGGCCCTCATCCCCGGGGCGGGCGAGGCCCAGCATGAGGGTGAGGAGAGGAGAGGAGAGGTCACTAGAGAGGAAAACGTCAACGTGCGGCGCCGAGAACAGGGCGACAAGAGCACCCTGTTATGGCGCTCGCCGGCACGATTTTAACGACACAGCCTGATAAAGGCAGCACTAAACCTGTAGTCCGTCTCACTTAAGATATCATCTTCCCGTGTCCAAATACGACAACAGCAAACGGGATCCGGCCACAATCAGTCTGGCAGCCCTATGCCCACGTTGGGTTTACACAGAAATACAAGGACGAGTCCCTGTCAGGAAGCTTTTCATTGTAAATCATAGCAACCAGTTCAAGGAAGACTCTCCGGGCAATATGGTAGACGAGTGCCTGACACAACTGCAGAGCCCCTTAAAGGCACCATGAGCGGGAAAGATCACCGACAGGCAGGCCAGAAACCGGGTGGGTGTGGGAACCAGGGGGGGGGGGGGGGGGAGAAGGGGGGGGAGAGGAAAGTCTCTAAAGTCTGCTTCTCCCTCAGCCATTTACGGAACCCACCGAGCTTAGCAGTCAGTTTCACTGCCTCGAATGGCCATCCCAAAGTATGGCATCCAAAAGGAGGTGCCCCCCAGAAAGCTGGTCCCCCCAAAAGCTATGCCTTCAATGTAATGGTGAATCAAAACTAAAATACAAGGAAACTTGCTTGTTTTAATAAATGTTAGTCCTAAGCAGAGCAGGAAAAAAAAAATCCCCTAAGAACCTGTAATCAGGGGTGGGCCCTCACTTGGTTTTGAGCCAATAAAACCTCAAGCAGAGAACAGAGCCTGGTCCCAAACTGACACAGTCACCACGAGAGAAGCAGAGAAATCGGGGGCGGCGCGGGGGAGGGCCTCCCCTTCGTTCCAGGCCGATGGAGCCCCAGGTGTGACGTTGCAAGAAAAAGGAGCAGCTCACAGTATACTATGTCTAAGCACACAAACACAACACACAAGCTGGCCCAGGCCGAAATAACAGCAGAATGAGACATAAAACTCCTCCGTGTAATGAAATGATCAGACAATATAAAATAAGCAGATTAAACATGAGTACGGTATTCAAAAAACACCACAGAACATCCAGAAATTGGAAAAAATCAGTAAAAATAACTTCATAACAGATCACGCAACTACAGAGAGTTAGTGACCTGGATATGAGATCGGAAGAAAGTACCCAGAATGCAACACTGACACAAAGAGGTAAAAAAATGTCAGAGAAGTCAGAGACATGAGGCTAAAGCGAGAAGTCCCCACGTGTGTCTAAGCGAAATGGAGCAGGAGCAATCTTTGAAGAGTTACCCGCTAACAAATTTCTGAGCACTCAGGAGAAATACAGTCAATCCCAACAGATCCTCCTCATGGCAAATAAACAGACATCCACAACTAAATACAACACAGTGAAAATGCAAGGCCCTTAACACACCAAAATGCCAAAATCTTACAAGCAGCCAATTAGGGAGGGGGAAACAAGATCACCTTCATAGAGCATCAAACTGAGAGCCTACGCCCAAGGAAAGAAGACCATGAAGTGGTAACTCCAAGCAGAGGAGGAAATGTTACCATGGCCAGTGAAAAACAAAAATGCAGGAAAACAATAGTGTCTGTGCAGTTAGACTCTGGTGAGTTAAATATCATGTAAAACATCTTACAGGAATCACGAAAGGAATAAGAAAACTAAATTTCAAAAACGGGAAAAACACTGTATGTGACGGAGAAAATTTCTATCTAAAAGAAGGCAGGAAAGGAGTGGAAAAAGGAATGCAGATACGGTGGAATAAAAATTACAAAATAAGAGGATAGAAATAAGTCAATAATCAATGCATCAATCATTACACAAAATGTAAGTTAAATGCTCTAGGTAAAAACAATATATGGAATAAAAACATCATCCAACTATATGCTATTTACAAGAATACGCCCAAACCGTGAATACAGGCATACTTGGGAGATACTGTAGGTTCAGGTCCAGACCACATCGATACAAATATCACAATAAAGTGAATCACACAGGTTTTCAGTCCTCGGCGCCTATAAAAGTATTTCACAATACACTGTCGTCTGTTAAGAGCATTCCATCCAGCAAATGCACATACCTTGATTTTAAAAATACTCTCTTGCTAAAAAATGCTAAGTATCATCTGAACCTTCAGCTAGTTGTCATCTTTTCTAGTGGAGGGTCTTGCCTCCGTGCTGATGAAAATGCAGTTCTGTGGCGTGCAATAAAGCTAAGCGCAATAAAACGAGGCACACATGCCTGTGTACAGACAAGACTTTAAGGCAAAAAACAGTACTAGATGCCAATTCCCAGAAAGAAAAACAGTCGCTTTATAATGATCAAAGGTAACATTCCAAAGTTCTAAAACTCTCAGGGCACCCAAAGCATCTCAAAATGACGTAAGATGGACTGTCACAAGGAGAAACAGATAAACCCACAATGATAATGGAAGATTTTAACGCCTCTCTCCCAGTAATGAGAGCTCAGAGAGACAAACATATCAGCAAGGTTCCAAATAACACAATTAACAAACCTGACGTATTGAAAACAGCATGACACGCAAGTGCAGGAGATGTTTTTAAACACACACGGAACATTGGTGAATGTTAATCACTTATCTGGCCTGGTCATAAAGCCTCGGCAAACTTTAAAGTAAACAGACCACATTCTCAGAACACAACGCAGGCATTTTAAAAGCAGTAACATACAGATAATCGGGAAGAAAACAGTTTCCTAATACTAAGAAATACAATTTTTTTAAAAAAATATATTTTATTGATTTTTTACAGAGAGGGAGAGGGATAGAGAGAAACATCGATGAGAGAGAAACATCGATCAGCTGCCTCCTGCACACCTCCTACTGGGCATGTGCCCGAAACCCAGGTACATGCCCCTGACCGGAATCGAACCCGGGACCCTTGAGTCCGCAGGCCGACGCTGTATCCACTGAGCCAAACCAGTTAGGGCCTAAGAAATACAATTTTAAGTAACTCATGGATCAAAGAAGAAAATAAATCAGAAAA